ACCTCGTAGGGCTCGTAACTTGATTGCTATGATTCCCAGTTGGTTTGCATTCAAATCTGGGAAACTTCATTTTTGGGCCATTTTTGAAAATTTTGATGATGGTACCCCTTATCAAAAATGCGAAATTTGGGCCAAAATTGACTTTCCCAAAATCGAAAATCGAGTGATAGGGGTAGTTAGTATTGGTCGTTAGCGGCACGAAACAGTCGTTCTTTTGGCTGTGCGTCTTGTTTTGACCGAGCTAGAGCTAAAAACCCGCAACCAATATTGAATTTTGATTTTTTAGCCATTAATTCAGCACTCGCAGCAAAAGAGCAGTACACTAATGTAAAAAGTGGGTATAGGGGCTGAAAGTGTTGGCTGTAAGCTGCTTTTACGTATGCTGCTTGTTTTGACAAAGTTAGAGCTAGGCAACGGCAAGAAGGCCGTGTTAGGTACTCACTGTGAATGATCGACTGCCCAAACGTGTGCTACAATTTAAAATATTAAAGAATACCTCAAAATCAACAAATAAATTCCGAAACTCTCTATTTATACTTTTATTTTATTTTTATTCAGTTTTTGTTTGTTTTTCTTTCATACAAAGCCCTTTATTATTGTTAAAATTTCAATTATTCTCTTTGGTTTTTTTTTCTTCTTTAATTAATAATTTACAGTTTTATGAGTTTTCCACTTTCCCCATCGACTTTCAGCGATCTCTCTTCATCATTTCTTTTTTTTTACTTATACATTCCTTGGGGGGGTTGGGTTGTACATTATAACAGTACAGCAATTGATTTTATGTAATATGGTAAATTTGCTATAAATAGTGGGAATTCTTATGAGGTAAATGCTTAATGAGCAAAAAAAAAAAAAACAATTACAATCGTCGTCAGATCAGATCAGTTTATACTACATACATAATACATATAATATATATATGTATACAAAATAACAAATCGTAAGTCTAATAAACATTCTTAAAATTCATATCTCAAATACAAATACAATATTTGCTTTAGCTGTTAGTTGTTGTTCTTAATTTGTTTTGGTATCGGCTTCGGTTTTTCTTTAGTGTATTTTGTTTTTGGAAATCGAGGTTCCTAACATTTTGGATTCATTTTTTGTTTTGTTTTAATCAAGCTTTTTACTATTTCGTGTGTGTAGGTTTTGGTTTTTAGTATTTGTTGTTTTTTTCTTTCTTTTTTTATTTTTTTTTTTTTTGGTTTTTAAATCGTAAAATACTAATTTAGCAAATGTAGGCACCCTAAATATTAAAGCTTTTGCAAAACACGGTTCCTCGATAAGATATAACAATATATTTTGTTAGGGGTTTTCCCTTTTTTTTTTTTAAATTTAAATATACAATACAGTAAATTCAAAATAAACTAATTCATTAGTCACTGAATTTTTCTGTTTTTTGGTTTTCTTTCTCTTTTCTTTTAGTTTCTTAGTTTATTTCTTTTAGAAATTAAATCTTTTTTCCTTTTTTAGTTGTTTTAATTTTTAGTTTACTTCAATTTTAGCATTAGGTTAGGCTTTAATTTAGGTTTGGTTTTAGTTTTAGTTGACATTCATTTACCTTTAGTTAAGTTTTTTGGGTTCTATTAGTTTTTCATCTCCTTGTTTAATTCATGCAATGCATTCTAGTTTACTTATCTTTTCTTTTCTTTTGTTTTTTCTTTTTGTTTTTTTTTAATAAAAAATTGTTCGCCTTCCTCTTAGATGTTTATTGTTTAGTTTTAACATAATAATTGTTTTTCCATTTTGGGTTTTTTTCTTATTACTTTGTTGTTAATAAATTGGTCTTTGCTTCGGCTTTCGATTTAGCTACTGAATACATTACTATAATACATATAAAGTCAAATATGATCTTATTAGTGTGGGGTTTTGTTTTTTTGTTTTTTTGGTTTTTTGGGTTTGGTATAGACCTCATAGACCGTCTGTACATGTATATACGAGTATATGTGTGTTGTATATCTAGATATTGTATATGTAACCTTATATATTTTGCATACCTCGATTTAGTTAGGCGCGTGGGAGTAGGGATTTTTGGGGGGCAATGGTTGGGAGGAGAACCCTTTCTAATTCCTAGCGTGTAAACTCGCCAAAATGGCTGCTTCCTCATATCATCCGGTTCGAAACGTTTTTATAAACACGAATCCAGTTTTTCGTTTGCCTTTTGGTTATCAGTTAGTAGCATTGGCATTTGGCTGGGCTATATGTATGTTCTATTGGACCTGGTTTGGCTAGACGATTTCTGCGGTAGAAGCGTGATTCTCGAAGTACCCCTTGAGCTCTACGATTCGCTGAAGAAAAACAAGAATATATATTTCGATTCGGGTTGTACAACGTTGAAAAAAGCCACAAACATAAATGCACAATACACACAGAAAGCTGGACACATGGGACCCGGACCTCAATGATGATGTTCTATGAAAGTCAACAAAGGACATTGTGCATTTCGATCCTTAAGATGTGTTCTTTCTCATGTTGTTGTTTTTGTTTTCTTTTTTTTTTTGCATATCCCAGCTCAAAGGCGGCTAAATATCTTCGGTTTTATAAATTGTTACTGCTGTGGATTTAGTTTCTTGTAGGAATTTTTCACATTAGTTGGTTTTGCGTTTGCTTTCTCGTTATTTTGGTTTTCAATTTCATTTCGTTTTTTTTGGTTTTCTTTGCTTGGTATTTTGTATAATAAAGACCTGTCTTTGGAAATTCGGTCCCTCATATCAAAGTTTTTTTTGGTTTTTATCTCGTGTTTAAAGGTATTTTTGTGGGGCTTAGGAAACCAGTTCAAACGGGAATTTGATCTTGTACCAATTATTCAATTCAATTCGATTTGATTTGATTTCGTATATCGTTTTAATTGTTAATCGTATATCGATCATTGTTCAGTATTATTCTGCGTATTTGTTTTAAATTGTTGTAGAGTTGAAACCCAAATATGTATGAATACATAACGTTAAAGCTGGGCTCATTCCATATCTTGTATCTGAATCTGAAGTGTTCTTGTTCTGTGTGTGTTTTCTTTTTGGGTGTCTCTTCCGATATTTATCGATCTGTTTAGTTTTGTTCTGATCTGTTTCGGTCTCTGTTTGAGTTTCTGTTTCTGTTTCTCTTCTGTTCTGTTTCAGTTTCTGTTTCTGTTTCTGTTCTGTTTGGTGTGTTGTCGTCTTGTGTTGATCTTTGTTATTTATTGTGATAAAGCTATTTTGACAGCAGTCTTGAACGTTCTTTTCAATTTAAATATTCAATATTATAAATAGGTATACACACATTTGTTTAAGGGTTCATTTAGTTGGTTTGTTGTTTGTTGTTTGTTCTCCTTTGTCTGGGATTTTCTTGTTGTTGTTGTTGTATATAAGTTAAGACCTATCAGACAGTTGGGGAAACTTTTTGGTTAGGGGATTTCATCTTTGCTTTTGGTTTGTTTTCTTTTCTTTTTCTTCTTTTTGTCAAATCAAACTAAAGCCTGGGGTTTTTGGAGATGTGGTTAAAATCAATATGGCAAAATTTCGATACATTTAGTTGGCTTAAGTGGACTGTATCCTATGGCTATATAATCTATAGTTTACAGATATTTTGATCCTTTCTGGCCCTGGTTCTGTATAATATGCAGAGTCTGTCATACTGACTGAGGGAATTGTGGGGGAGGTGGTGGTGTGGTGGCAGGACAGGGGACTTATTATTTTTTTTTGGTGGAGAGAGGGGTGTGGTGTGGAGATGGGGGCACGATTTGGGGAATTCAGTTGTATATCTCTTTTTGCCTTCCATTTTTTGGGATCCTAACAAAGCGTTAGAAGGTTTGCACATTACCTAATTGTTTGGTTTTTTTTTTTGGTTTGGTATTCTTTCTTTAAATAACTTCGATGCTCTCAGTTAATACTTTATAGTAAGTATATATATATATAGTATATATAATGTTCCTTTTAGAATCTTTAGAAAATCTTTACGTAGCTCGGCCACTTCTGCTATTATGTCTATACTATATTCTGCTCTACACATTTCAATTTCTCATTTTTATTATTTCAATTTCAATTTCAATATCAATTTCAATTTCAATTTCAATTTCAATTTCAATTTCAATTTCAATTTCAATTTCAATTTCAATTTCAATTTCAATATCAATTTCAATATCAATTTCAATTTCAATTTCAATTTCAATTTCAATTTTAATTTCAATTTCAATTTCAATTTCAATTTCAATATCAATTTCAATTTCAATTTCAATTTCAATTTCAATTTCAATTTCAATTTCAATTTCAATTTCAATTTCAATTTCAATTTCAATTTCAATTTCAATTTCAATTTCAATTCGCTTCCTTCTCTGTTCGGTTCTATATATATTTTCTATCTGGAGCTTGTAGTTTGTTCCGTTGTTACACATTTACCAGCTAGTTTGTATATTAATGCGAATACCTTTAATATGTTACAAAATTTCAATTAAAATTGTTTCACTTTAGTACGTAGACTATACTAAGTAGTTACTTTTTGTTTTCTTTTGTTTATCTTTGTTCGATTTCTTCGCATTTGTTACTACTATATATATATATATCATCTCATCGTCATCGTCATCGTCAACTCCATTCGAAAGCTATTCAGGTTCTTAATTGAGTTCATAATTCTTGGTAGAAAAGAATAGGCGAAAAAACAACAACAACGAAAAATATATATGTATATATACTATATATATTTGTTTGTTTGTTGGTTTTGCAATATATATATATATGTGTAGAAAAAGAAGACAACAACAAACGTGTTTCCTTTAAACTTGTTTCGTTTAGTTTAGTTAAAGCCAGAGCTAGTAGATGTTAAGTAAGAACTCTCTCATTTTTGTGTGTGGTTTTGTGTTTGTTTTAAATTTTATCCTCGGATTTTTCGTAGTTTTTCTATGTTTGCGTTTTGTTTTTTGTTTCTCTCTTATCTTTTAGTATTTTTGGTTTTCTGGTTTCGCTGTTTTCTAAATCTCGTAACATACATTTTACAGTTAGATAGTTTTTCATTGTTCTTGATTGTGGTTTTTTTTTTTTTTTTGTTTTACTTTGTTTTGTATATAATTGTTGGGGTTTTAATAGGTTGTTCGTATGCTTTTCCTACTTGCCTTCTTTGCACACTCACTCTTACATGCACACACACACACACATACAGTCAGGTCAGACATACATCCTTCGGATACAGAGACATATATATATAATTTAAACACACACTTTGGACAGACGGACACTAGAATTAGCCATGTTCGTGGATGTATTGCTGTTGGTTGGTTGCACCAGAAACGGAAGTGCCAAGAAGGGGATCTTTGAAACGGGGCTTATGTGGATTTTGCAGTTCTATATAAGGGTTATACAGATATTTACGGTGCCAGATTCTTAGGGCTTGTCTATCTTGCTATATCTTTCTGCTTTCTGAGCTTTTTTCGTATTCGTTTTGTTTACTTCGATTCTACATGCTGTTGTCCTATGATCTATTTCCTATAGGCTCTTATTTCCTAATCATGCTCGCCCTGTACACTCCCATTCTCATAAACACTTACAAACACACACACACACACACAGACACAGACTCTATGCTATGTTTTGTTATATGTTTTTTGTTTTAGTATGCAAGTACAGGCTGGCCTGGCCCAAGGTGAATTATTACAAATACGTTTAGCCTAAAACTTAGAAAAAAAAAATTGTATATATATGTATACATATATTCATTTTGTTTTAGTTTTCATTTTTGGTTTTGTGGGCTATACATATATCCAAAGACATATATAGATATATATATATAGTAGATGTGTGTATGTGTATGTGTGTGTGTGTGTGTGTATTATGTATATATTATATGTATATGCTAACATTTGACTTTTTTTCTCATCTCGAAGAGGCTTATTTACAAAAGGCCGAGTTCGAAATTCGACTTGTAGAATTACTAATATTACTATATTACCACTATTATTACTACTATCACTATTAACTAACACTATTAACTACTATTATTGCATACACGTTCTCTTTTCCTAGTAAACTTATTCGAGGCAATCGCCGGCTTGCCACTCTCCGTCGTAATCGTTTCATTCATCGTTATCGATTTGACAATGCCAACGGTTCCGGCCATTGAACTACCACTTCCTGTCCCTGTGAATGCAGGCGTTGAACTCGATGGCGGTACTATACCACCACCACCACCTATTATAGCCGTCACATTCTGCTGATCGGGCGAACTGTTGCTATTCGTATTGGTATTTGCCAACGATTCGGCATCTTCGGGTATTGGTATTATCTCCCTTTCCATTTCCATTTCCCTTTCCCGATCACTTATAGAATGCAAAATGTGTGATTCCTGCGATTGTGACGATAATAATTTCGCTTTCGATTTCGATTGCGATTGCGATAACGACGGCGATTGGACGACACGTTGCCTCAGCGCTGTCTCGGCCATTACGAATTCGGGTTTAGACTTTGACGTAGACATTGATGTTGATGTTAATGTTGATCTTTGGTGTGCGGTTGATGATGATGATGATGTTGGCCAGCATCGTTCCGCCGGCCTTATTGTTAGCATCTCGATGTTAATCACGGAGTTGGAGCGCTCTCTTTCTGATATTCAGCTGCCGTATTTGTTGGAAGATGCGTAGCTATTAACTGCAGATCCATTTGATGGCATGTGAGTATCAGGCACTAAATGTGGTGTTCTACTAGATATAGGTGGCAAAATAGGGCTTGTTGGCCAATGGTAAGTAGCAGCGGCGTTATTGGATGAGGGAACACTTCTATGCAAAAAGCAGTATGTTAATTGTCGTTATCAAGTACGCTTTTTCAAAAATAAATCAAATTTTCTTTGTTGTTGTTTTTTTTTTAAATGGCAATGTTTTGATTCGATGCAAATCATGAAATGTCAGAGTGATGGAAAGCCATGAAGAGTCAATCAAAAGAAAAAATCAATCAGTAAATTGAAAGCCCTAAAAGTAAGTGTTCGTCCAGAGGTTGGAAAAATAAACTCAACACAATTCATAAGCAAACTAAAAATGAAAAAAAAGTATAGTTATTGTTTAAGATTTTTGCCCTTTTCCTTGTTAATATATAATATATAATTTCCTCAATCACAGTCCTAACTAATCACTTGAATCTTGCATAGAAGACGGAATAGGTTTCTCTTTAGTTTATTTATTTTTTTTGGGGTAGCCACAGGGATTTTGGGATGTAATTTGGAGGGAATCAAGTGTGTGCAATGGACAACTACGGTATATATAAATATTTACAAATGAGTACGCAAGATGACAGGATGGATGGGTTAGGGGGATGTAACTGGGTTAGCTTGGGGCAGCTGTGGGGGAACCCCGATATTCCCGGCAAGGAGGCAAACGACGACTCACAGACAACGAACAAAAAAACAAATTGAAATGACAGGCACAAGTCTCGCTTTAATGATAAAGACATATGGTATGTGTGTGTGTGTGTGGTTGAGAGTGTCTTTGGTGTATGGATGAGGATAATGGACATGGCTCATATATATAAATATAAGTATAAAGATAGATAGATAGACAGAAACAGACAGAGACAGAGACAGAGAGAGAGAGAGAGAGAGGCGAGAAAAAGAGATGGGTTGACTCACCTAGAATGGGGAAACAGCATTGGTGCTGCATTGAACATCGATTGGGGCGTTGGCGCTTGAATGGGTGCAACTGCAGCTGTATCTGGATGTAAAAAGTTCCGCCTTTGCTCGATCCGCTCCTGGTGCTGGGTCAGACATCGAGACAATAGGTCTGGAAGGCTTTCCATGTGCTCCTGCAATACAAATATTTTAACAAGTGTGTATGTGTGTTGTGTGGCGAGTGTGAGAGAGTGTGGGTTCGTTGGTTGCTTTTTACTAAATCACACTCTTCCGATTGTTTGTCATACTTGTATGCTCTGCATTTTGTCCTCTAGGTTGGTTAGACGCTCCTCGATGGCATCCTGACGGCTAGACATGTCCGATATTATCTCGTAGACCGTGTTTTGTGTCTGCGAATGGTATTCACACAATCACAAACATGCATTTGCCCATCAACTTACATACAATTGAAGTGTTTTTTTCATTCGTAATGCTGTACAGTCGAACTTCGATAAATTAAACGAATAGTGAAAGCTTTGAATGTATTTAAACTGTTTAGCTTAATTTATACAAAAATTATAATTATCGAATATTATGTTATCGAAAATATCAAGTTGATTATCGATTAATACATTGATGCATACATAATAATCGATTATAATGATATCGAAAATATTAAGTTAGATATCGATTAATACATTAATACATACATAATAATCGATAAATATGCTATCGAAAATATCAAGTTGGTTATCGATTAAACATTAATACATAAATAATAATTGATTATTATGTTATCGAAAATATCAAGTTGGTTATCGATTAATACAAACATAATAATCGATTATTGTGTTGTCGACAATATTAAGTTAGATATCGATTAATACATTAATACATACATAATAATCGATTATTATGTTATCGAAAATATCAAGTTGGTTATCGATTAATACATTTTATTTAAAGAAAGTTCGACTGTGTAATATGCATAAATATATATTTGTTTTCTAGCTACCTTGGCCATATCAGTTATTGTATTGGCATTATCCATTAGTTTGCGCTGATCCATTTTAACTTTTCGCAACCTGCATCGCATTGGAAGAGTCATCAATATTACAGAGAATATTATTTAAGTACAAAAAGTTCGCCAACACATACAAACTAAGCGCGTAATTAAGTTTTTTTTTTCAAAATTACAAAATACATTTTTTTTTATTTTATTTGATTTTTTTTTAGTGATTTTGCGTTTCGTCTAGACGAAAACTTTCGCTTTCCATCCAGAAAAATCACTTTAATATATAATATATATAGAAATCGGACAAAGAGTTAACAATGAGTTTCGAAACCTTAAGGGAATAATATCATTAAGATAAACTTAAATACTCTTGCTTAGAGGTATGACCTTACTAAGACCTTTTAAACCAAACGAAATATCAATTATTTTCCTTTAAAGTTTCGAATCGCAATGCTGGATAGATAGATTATCGATTCACTGAAATTATTATTTATTTAATTATTATTATATTTGTTTTTTTTTTTTTTTTTTGGTGTATATAGAATTTGTTGTGCCGTAGTTGATAGATAGATTACATAAAGGAGTAAGAAAAAAATCCATATTTCTTTTCGGGCGTTAAAATTGCAGAAAATCGTATCGTGAAAGTATCATCATATCATTCGGCTGATCCCTGAGCCATTCCCCAAGGCGATTTGAAAAAAAAGAAAATGAACAAGATGAGGACTAAGACGAGTCACAGGTTTTCTTTTTTGGAACAGGTTCAGCAGCTTTTTAGACAGATTACAAAAATGTCGGGTGTTAGGAATGTCATGAAATGCTGTGAAATGAGTTTAAGTTAGTAAAATGATTGATATGATATTATGATTATTATGGTCACTAGGCAAAAGCACAGATGGTATTGCGATAGTTTTAGATACGAGATTCTAGAATATTTAACGCAGCATGCTAGGTTATGTGGCTAGTCTCGGTTATATTGCATAACGTAAAAACAGGGCTTTACAACCTATTTACAGGCTAGTAAAACGAGTTCAATCATTTGTTTGGTTTTCAACATTTCAGTTTAGTACTTGGTAATTATCGTTTTTAGTATTTTGATTAGTTTCGTTTTTTGGTTTCGTTTTTTTGGGTTATATATTTATTATTTTTCATACGGATGTATATACAAAATTCTGATGAATGGCTTTCCCAAAGCTTTTCTACGTTTATTGATGGGCACAAAGATGAGTCTCTAATTATGATATTTTCGGGGAGCATTTTGGACGGGAAACAAGGACAGGATTTGTTTTGTTGTTTTTTAAACTAATCTGACAAACATATAACGTACAAATATACAAATGAGAGTTAGTTAAATAAAGAGAGAGCTAGAGAGAGAGAGAGAGAAAGACAGAAAAGAGACAGAACATAAACGAACAGAGACGGACAATGATTTTTTCCCCAAAAATACTACCCTCTATTCAATCTGATATCATTTGGACTCTTAGTTAGGCACTCTTTCTTTTTCTTTTTTCTTGCTTTAATCGTTTTAAGTTATTATCTTTCGGTTTGATTGGCATTTGTTCTTAGGTTGGTTGGTTGTTGTTTTTTTTTTTTTTTGGTTGATTGGTTTTGTTGATAGATCTCTAAAAATACTCACGCATATATAGCTAGAAGGAACTTTCTTTGGTGGGTTCTTACACGGCCGGGATTAACCCGTTTTACTAGTCTTGTATGTTTGTAAATGAGCCAAGTTTCACGCAGAACATTCGCCGCAGCATTTTTCAGCTAAATTTTGGTCCAAAGAAGAAACGTATACAAAGGTAATTAGAATGCAATATGAATTATATATATGTGTGATGATATGATGATTTGATTTTGTATATGTCTTTTGTTGGTTATAGTATATAAGGTAGGTGGTATATCTCTGGTTTTGGTCAGTCGGTCGCATCGAATCAGAACAGATCAGAGTGTTGGAACACGATCAATACCCGTTTGGTCAACTGCGTGTCCATCATGAAGTTGTGCACATGCTTCTCGGCACGGGTCAGCTCCAGTTTCCGGGAAACTACGGCCACAAGTAGAGCCGTACAGCCGGCGCCCTGTAATGACGATTTGAATTTCGATGAGTTTTGGGCATTAGAAATTTTAAATTAAAAAAGCTCTCTCAACTGAGGTGAGTTTCGATCTGATCGAAGATCTGAGGGGATCTGGGATCTAGGATCTTGGATCACCGGACACCCAACTAAGGGAGGAGTGAAAGAAAATTGCCTTGAATTTAGTTTCCTAAGCTGTCCCCCTTTTAAAATTTAAGTTTATTAACTGATTAAATGATTTTATGTATCGAAATATCTTTACTGATAAAAATGCTTTAAATAGGGATTGGGAAATTGAAGTAAGTTTAAGTATCATCCAGAAACCACATATTAAAACCCACCCAAATTATAGATAATTACTTGTGATATATCTAAGGGCAAATTTGGCAAATCGTACTCTGAGCTAGAAAAGAATGTCCCCAAATTAGCTGAAATTGGCAACTGGTCGAAGGCAATTTTCTTAATAGTAACACAATTGCACTCATTTTCTTTGATGTTAGTTTTTATTTTCCTTTTTCTTTTTTTTTCGTCTTTCCATTGGGGTAGTTTTTAGGTTTTAGGGATTGGGGGGGTTGGAGGGAGAGTTGGGTGCCCGGCCATCTGTAATGTCAGTTGGTTATTTTCACTTTTGTTTTATGCATTCAAAATGAAAGTTGCTTTTTGGTTTATCAAGTTATATAGTCCAGAACTTTTGTTGCTGCTCTCACAATATAGATATAGTAATTTCATGGATGTTACAACATGTATACTCGTATATATGTTATGTTTCAGTTTTTCTTTTAGATTTTTCTTCTTTTCTTTTTTTTTTTTCTTTGTATTTCTTCTTTTTTTTTTTTGTTCACTTTGTTATTTTTGGTTTGCTTCTCCGATGGTTGAACGATTAATGGGTGAGTGGGTTTAATGAGTATATGGATGATTAGATGACTTCCTACTAATTGATATTACAATATAGATGTATACATATATATATATACAGATATATATATATATATATATATATATATATAGAGAGAGAGAGAGAGAGAGAGAGAGGGATTGGAATGCAGCAACTTTAGTTAGTCTTTTAGTTAGTTCGAATTTAGAGATACAGAATTGGATGTGGGTGGTTTTTTAGATTCGGATTAGATTTATATCAAACAGAGTTCATGGATTCGGGGGGCATATATGTAATACAACGATTAGGGGGTGTCTGGCAGAGAGTTACATACACACATAGTTACGAAATACAATTAGCTAGGTAACAAAGTTGAAAACCATAAATCACAATTCATAGTTTAGAAAAGGAAATATCTATCATAGCTTGATTTATTTGTTAATATTTTTAAGTTGATTTTTCAATTTTTTGGCCACTACAACATGATAAATATCTCAAAAAAAAGAGTCTAAGATATAAGCAGATAGTCTTTAAAGGCTTATTAGATGTAGGTAAGGAAATCGAAATATAGTTATATTAATGTATATATATATAAAGAGAGAGAGAGAGCGAGAGTTAGAAAAGGAAAGTAAGCCACACAAAAGCAGAATTGGTTACTAAAAAAATGGCAGAAAGATAGAAGTATTGGAAAATATATATATTTTTTTTAAATCGTTTATAAGCACTATTCGCTAAACTGGAAGCTATTTATTTATAATCCTTGCGCTGCTCTTAAATATTTTAAAAAAGGATTCCGTTTTTAAAAAGTTTGCTCAATCTGATCTCAGTTTGGCCTATCAAACATGCGATTATCTCTCCTCAAATCAAAGTTTTTAAGCTCCTTTTTTTTTGTTAATTTTTCTTTTTTTTTTTTTTTTGGTGATTCAACTAAGTTTTTTTGATATATGTATATGTACAGTTAGCTAGGAATATGTTTAGATTTATATATATATATAATTTTTGTTGTGTTCTTTTTTTGTTTTTTTTTAAGTGGCGGCGAGGGGCGGTTGTGGTGGGCGGGTAAAACATTCGTATGCAGTTTATGTAATTATTTACACGTGATTTCAGTTCAGTTTAGGTTTTTTTTTTCTGAAAGATCTTTATATTTTCTTTTGATATATATATTTTTTGATTCTTGATTTGTTATATGTTGTTGTGTGTGTGCAATTGTTGGTAATATTTTGTTGTTAAAAACTCACCATTATTCCTGTACTGACAGCGATACCACGTCCACAGTACGTATTCGGAACAATATCACCGAAACCAACACTCAAAAATGTTATCGCTATCAGCCACATTGCATTCAAAAGATTCGCATGTTCTTCATCATGAAATCTGTTCCATAAACCAGCACGCGTTTATATATATATTTTTTTTCGTTTTTCGTTTTTGTTTTCAAAATATATATTTTACAAGATATATATTTGATTTGATTTTGATTTGTTTATGGATTTAATCAGTTGAAGTTTCAGTTTCAGTTTCAGGGGTCAAATTGATAACACGCGTTTAGATATATATATATATTTTGTTTTTTTTTTTTTATGAAAGGGAAAGAGAGATAGAGAAAAATATCGTATTGTTGGCTTAATGTTCAAAAATAAACTATAAGAATCCATTAAAAAAACGTATATGGCATAGGTAAAAATTAATTTAACATAAAAATCAAACATAAATCGTAACGTAACGTAACAGAAAAGAAAAACAAAACAAAATAGTAACAAAAAACAAACGGAAAATGAAAGAAGAAATATATAAGCAATATATATTGTAGATATATATATATATATAAGTTGGAAATGAAAAATAAACGTTAGAATGGGCATTCTGCATATAGGAAAACGAGATTAACAACAAATGGACGAGTAAAACGGGTGAGCGCACACAATACAGTGGTCCAAAAAAGAGTTTCATTGGGTTTTGTAAATCTTATAAATATTATTGAGGGGGGTTGTTTTTTTTTCGGTTTTTTTTTTCGGATATATAGAGATGTTGAAAGTTATGGACGTAACCGTTAATATATATGTATATATGTACAACCATGGGGGTTTTTGGCCCGATATAAGCTTGCTGTACAAAAGTGATAGTTCAAAATATTTTGATTTGATGTTTTTTTTAATGTAATCTAGTGATTTGATTTGATTTTTTTGTAGGAAGGAGGCTTCTAGGGTGCAGAAAACAATTCAATTTAATTTCCAAGGCTCACACGCACACACACACACACACAGAGCCATCCACACTCTCATACACTCATATACACACCTACACTGAGACTGAGTTAAATGTGCACATTAATAGAATTTGCCGGAGCTGTCAGAAAAGATTTGTTTTGATTTTGTTTTTTTGTTTTTGCCAGGAAGCAAAAACTTTTCTCGTTTCTTCCCTCTGCTTCCTCTTTAAAGTACATCTCTGTGTGTGTGTGTATATGTCTGCGTGTCAGGATTTTTTTTTGTTTTAGTTTTTTGCTGGCAACAAAGGACAAAAAGAAAAGTTACATTGTTATCTGCGCTCTTTAATGCTGCAGAAATACAGACACACCACACACATACACATCTATACGCACACACATATGGTGATTATGTACATATATTTAAATATATATAATGTATGCTTATGTTTATAATACAGCACACACACACACACGCGCGCACACAGAGTGGGTGGGCTAACATACACATATATATGTTTGTATATATATTTTTTTTTTTGGTGATGATTTACAACAGATTGCCAGAGTGTGTGTGTGTGTGTTTTGGTGGTGAAGGGTGGGCTGGTGGCGCTGGTAAATGTCATGTGTTTGTATGTATTAATCGCGTCCTGACAGAAACAAAAACCAGATAGAGCGAGATGGCTAAAAGATATAGAACTATTGCTCGACATTTGCTTTCCGCTTTTTTTTTCGTTTTTTTTTTCAGTTTATTTTGGCTTTATTTTTGTTGTTCTGTTTTGCTTTGTTTTTGGCGACGATTTGGGCAGACAAAACGGCATCTAAAATATGTGCGCTGAAATGTATGCTACGAAAAATGGATATGTGTTTCTTTCTTTCTTTCTTTCTTATTTTCGTTCATTCATTTGTTTTTGTTCGTGTGGGTGTGGAGCCTCCATCAAAACGGATTTTTGGATATTTGAATTTGAATTTATAACTCGATGGGAGCGTCGCAAAGGGGGTGTGTTTTTTTGGGTGGGTGAAGATAGGTCAGGGAATACGCCCGCACATGTGTACACAGAAAGAAATTGCACTTTATGATTTAGTATTATTGATATTTTGAATTCCTAAGCTGAATATGATATATATATATATGAAAGATTTGTTAATTATAAGCTATAAATATAAGAGGAATAATATTTTTAGAGAGAATTATAGAAATTTCAAGTGATTTGAACTCAAGTTGGAAAGGCAATCACATGGTATTGATATGGTTTTAAGTTAAAGTTAAGTTACTTATTAGCAATCCTAGCAAGAGAACTCTCAAAATATATATCAAGTATTTCCAGATTTGATGTGCCTTACATTTCTTTCTGTGTATATAGAGAAGTGCGTGCGTGTGTGTCGGCTGATTTGGCAGGTACAATTACTATAAAATACTATATATATATATATGTATGTATGTATGTGTGTGCGGAGCGGGGGATTTTCTGATTTCTTTTTATTTTTATTTTTTTGTATTTTTCTTTGGGGGCGCCTCAATGGCGGCTACTTTTCTGGGTCCCTTCCCACTTTATTATTATCATTCTCCTCTTCTTCTTCCACTCTCATCCTCATCCTCTTTAGCATCTACTACTTCTCTTCTGCTTAGCGATGGGTTTTGATTTCTCATATTTTTTATGCATGAAAGTTTGCTGTTTTGCTGTTGTTGTTGTTGTTGTTGTTGTTGCTGTTTTTGTTGATGATGATGTATGTACTTGTTGTTGTTGTTGTTGTTGTAGTTTATTGTTTATCTTATTATACGATTTCTTTATTGTTTCTATATGGATATATATATATATATATTTTTTTTTTTGATTTTTGCAACTGTTCTGTTCTGTACTGTTCTATTTTTTTGGTATTTATTTTGATTTAGTTTGTTTTTTTTTTTTTGGTATTTTTAAGGTATTTTTCAGTATCATAAATGGAGTTTTCTGGGAGTCTTTGGTTTTCTTTTTGGATCTTTAGGGTTTTTTTTTTGTTTTTGAGGTTTTTTTTTGAGGAAATACTTACCACCATGCCGCAGGTGAGGGTGATACCGCGTCCACAGTACGTGTTTGGCACAATGTCGCCGTAGCCGACACACAGAAATGTGATGGCCGTTAGCCACATGGAGTTAAGCAAATTCGCGTGCTCCTCATCGTGGAACCTTTTTTGTTTTTTTTGATTTATTTTGAGGATCAAATCGGTTCGGATCGTATTGATTTTATTTTTTCGAATTTATCGGCATGCGTTTTTGGCATTGTGGGAATATATATGGGGTACGAATTTCAGTCATTTCATTTGGTTTTATCATTTATGATACGTTTTCATTTTAGTTTTGATGGGTTTTATTGATTTTTGTTTGGCCGTTTTTTGTTTTTCGTTTTTTTCGTTTTTTTTTTTTGAGAATTCGTTAGCGGTTTTGCGTTTTTGCGGTTGTCAGTATACAAAAATATATATATAGAGAGATATTCGGTATTTCAGATGCGTTGCGTAGTGCGTATATTTCGTATGCGTATTCAAGTTGCGGTTGTTTTGTATTTTTTTTTTTTTAATTCGGTTGATGTTTTTGGTATTTTTCATATATATATTCGATTTCATACATTTTTGTTGGTATATTTTTTTTTTTTTTTGCAATTTGTGGATACAGAAGTAGGGTGAGAAGTGGAGTAAACAAATAAACAGATGTGAAATTATGTGAACATTTTTTGTTAAAAATTTTTCTATTTTTTTTTTTTTTTTGGTTTTGGTTTTTTGTTCTCCAGAAAAATTAAGAATACAATTTGGTAAATTTCATAATTTTTTTTTTTGTTTAGAAAATTTCCATGTATTAAATAAATACACATAAATACAAAGAAAATCAAAGAAAAACAAAGAAAATAAAAACAATTACAAAACTCAAAAATAAAGAAAACAATTTGATAAAGGGGAAAAATAAAGGAAAACTAAATCAAAAAAGGAACATAATTTGCTTTATCTTTTTGGGTTGTCTTTTTTTTTCTTTCTTTTTCTTTTTGGGCAAACGAATTAAAAGTCCTCAATAGAATATAAGAGCGAGAGAGAGATAGTAAGATATATTGATTGAAAGATACAGATAGAGAGAGAGAGAGAGCGAGAGATAGTTTTTAAAGTTTTATAGGGCGGGGGGGGGAGGTTATATATTTTGGAATATACAATGACATGAATAATATTGAATAATTATAGTTTTGGATAGTAGTTTGGCAATTCGATTACAACACTTGCTTCGGCATCGGTTCAAAAACTGCTTTTTTACTCTCATAAATACTCCATTTATCCTGCTCCTTCTTCATCATTCTTATCCTCTTCCTCCTCCTTCTCCTTCTCCTTATCCTCCTCTTCTTATTCATCTCTTCCTGCATAACGCATGAAAGTCTGATTGGATTGGGTTTGGGGTCTTTATGGGGATTTCAGTTCTGTGCTGGGGACTACCAAACTGATAACTCTTGATCTGAACACTGCACAGATGCACATACTCGTACTTCGCACTCACACAGAAACGGCGCACACTTTGTGAACTACATGCAAATCGACTAAAAATGGCCCATCTGAGAGTTATGCTACCCAGCCACACCCCCCATCCCCGCCCATCTGTAATAACCCGCTGTTCTACCTGAAGAGGCTTACCACCTGAAGCCCTAGAGATGTGGCCACTAAATGCTTAGGCATGCTGCCTGCCGGCACAGCTCCGTTGGGTGCCGTTTTTGCCGTTTTTCGAAGGGCGAATGGGTGTGGATTGTGTGCAAATGTGGGTGGTTTAAGCAATTTGCAAAGGAAAAATCATAATGAATGCCAAGAGTCCGTACACTGCGAAAACAAATTCGTACTTTTTAAACTAATTTTAAGTTCCTAATACTCGATAACTATTAATAACTCAATGACTTGATTTAAATGCATACAAAACACGCAAGGTCATACTAAAACCAAACTCAGTGTGACCTTGCACTCTAGCTATATTTAAATGCCAACAGCCAAGACTTTGTTTGTGAATTTGTTTTCTCTGTGTATGTCTGTGTTTGTGTTTTCCGTGTTCGTCTGCACCACCCCTGTTATAATGCCGTACAAAATCTGGTATTTTCTTCTGGGCTTTTCTCACTTCAATCCCCCCCTCTGCTTCTGATATCTAAATGACAGAGCTTTGATCCGAGCTGAGCAGAGCATGCATGGTTGATGGTTAAGATACATTTTCCAGGGATCTCCAACAATACGCACATACACATACAGACACACATATACAGACACAGATAGATATTAGATAAATGAAAATGAAGTTCCCGGCTTACAACAAAAAAACCAGACAGTTCGGAAAATAAAATTTTAAGAAATTCAGTATCAATTCTACCAATTTCTACAGAAAAACATTGAGATACGAATTAATTATGGATTTTCGAAACAAAATTCAACATCATAGTTACGATAAATACATATATACGTGGGCTGTGTGTGTGTGTGTGTGTGTTTTTTGGGTGTCTGGTTTTCGGTTTTCTATTTTCTGGTTTCAGTTTTTAAAGATTGAAGGACATACTCGTTGTATTTATTTTTCATTTATATTTCTCACTGAGCATTTTCAGCCATTTTCAGTTTGTTAGCCAGTCCACAGTCCATAGCCATGTGCCAAAAAAAAATAAGGCATACAGAAAAAAAAAGAATAATGAAAACGTGGGAAAGTAAAACAGAAACAAATCGAGCGGAGGATGTGACACGCAAATCAATACGTGTCACTCATCTGAGGCGAAAATAAAATGAAAGTCGAGAATATTTATATGGCAGTGGTAAGAGTAGTGGGCGTAGTAGTAGTAGTAGTAGAAGAAGAAGACGAGAAGGAAGAAGACCAAGGCGGAGGAGGAAGGTAGATGTAAGTGCTTCTGTCTCTCATATTTTGTTCTTTTCTGTCTTCATTTTTTGATTGTCCGATTTTTGACATATGCCTGTGCAGGCAATACTATCTATATATAATCATCAATTAGATCCAGCAAACTGCACAGGCATGCTTGGATATAAATATTGGCTACAGGAACAAACGCAACAACAAGGACGACAACAACAACAACAACAGCAGCAGCAACAACAACAACAACTTATGGAGAGGTGTGTGTATGCTTTCGTCACAAGACTGAAACACAGCTGTTGGATTTATCGGTTTGGCTCAAGAAACCTAGGATCCCTATAATATGGTTGGGTATTTGTTTTTCTTTTCGGTTTTCAAGTTTTCTCTTTTCTTTTCTTTTCTTTTTCTTTTCCTTTTTTTTTTTTGTTTTGTTTTGGGTTTAAACACATTTTGTTTCAAGTTTGTTTTTGGTTAAATATATATATGGATGTTAAGATGTGATCTACAGCAATGCAGGCGCAGTTCAATCCACAATTTGAAGCTTAATTGATTAAATAAAATATGAAATGTAAAAAGGTTTTCTTTTGGTTTTTTTTTCGTTCCCCAAAACTAAACAGCAACAACAACAAGAACGAAAAACATAAGGAACTTCGTAAATCCACAATAAAATCAAATAAAAACTTTGTAAGAATCGCAAGAAGAAACAGAAATAGTTTAAGAGAGAGAGAGAGAGTGAGACAGATTGAGATTGAGTAGAGCAAATAGAAAAGGGACAGAAACAGAGGCCAAAAGTAGTTGGGGGATCGATCGAAGAGGTTGAGCAAGATCAACATATGGTGCGCCAATTCGTAATCGTAAAAGGGTGTCATTATAAACAGGGTTTACCACCTTAGAAAAGCAAGAAGTATATGAGGAGTAAGATAACTTAGAGCAAAAGAGAGGCGAGTTAGAAAGATAAGAAGAGCGAGAGAGAGAGAGAAAGAGAGAACTAGCATATACAACGTTTAAACACAAAGATTTAAAGTCTAAAAAAAAAGTATACAATAATTTCAAAATGGGATATTAGGGGATTAGGTAAAAATATGCATGTATTAAGCGCGATACAGAGAAATAATCGATTGTCGATACAAAGCACAAAAGCAGTGTGACCATGCGTTTTCTTAATTCATTTCGATAACTTAATCAAATGATTGAATCATCTTGTTTCTCTGTATTGTCACGAAATGCAATTCTTCTTAATGCATTCTCCAATTCTACGTGGTCTCTTTTGGTCTTTTTTGTATACTGTATAAAAATGTGAGTGTGTTTTTTGCTTTGTTGTTGTTGCCACCCCCCTCCCCACCCCCATTCCCCTCGATAAGTGCAGGACTTCAATCAACTTTCATCGGATATATCGATAAGTTGTCAGTTGTCAGAAAAGGGGAAAAGTACAGGCAAGATAAATGTAAAAAAGCAATCAGCAATCAGGGTTCTTTGAGGGGGGAAAGGGGGTGATGTGGAGTAGTGGAGGTAGTGTGGAGGTGGTGTTGGTAAAAAACAAGCGAATCCGAATGCCAAATGTAAATAAATTGAAACACATGCAAGCATTATCCATTATCCAATCGTTCGCTACGTGACAGTGACAATTGCATTTCGATTGTTACAGATTCGCATTCGAACTCGTTTACAGTATATTCGGTATTTTGGTTATTCGTTGGGGATTTCGTTTTACGTTTTCATTTGTGTATGTGAATAAAATGCAAGCTACATGTAAATTCTTCAGCACGTATGAATAAGCAACAATGCACATTCGCTTTATTTTGTATTTATTTCTTTTTTTCTTCTTGTTTTTATCGTGTATGTTGTAAGCTGTGGCTGTGCTTAAGTCCCCCCTGGGGCCACCCTCTTAGTTTTTCAACGGACTTTTAAATGTAAGTTTTTTCAAGAACTTTAAAATATGTTTTATACACAGGAGAGTACAAAAAGAAAGCAAATACAACTTGTGACGAGAAGATGTTGTTAAGTTTTTTTTTTGGAGTTTTTTTTGAGTTGATTTTTGAGTTGTTTTTTGAGTTGTTTTGAAGAAGACATTACGTAATGCTTGGCACATACATTTATGTACATACATACATTGATATTAAATACTTAGTTATGTCAAAGTATTAGTGGCAAACACATTGAATCAGAACGTTAAACGGAAATGGCGTTCAGAGTAAAACGTAAGTAAAATACGGATAACGCAAAACGGAGTACGGAATAAGGAACATTAAAAAATCAAAATAAAGAAAAAATATAAATAAAAAAGAAACTAAAAAATAAACAAATCAACCATTGAGATTAAAAAAAAATAAAACAAAAGCATAAATAATAAAGGAAAATGAAAATCTCAACAAGTAAGAAATATCATATCATATAAATTTGATAATAGAATATTGGCCATTACCTTTCGCATTGACGTAGCGTCCAGGATGCGATGATCCACAGCGAGACCATGAATACCAATAGAACCGTTCCCGGGCATATTGTCATTAGAGTTTTTAAAACGAATCTAAAGGGGATAACAAAAGAAAAGTGAATCTTGATTAGTTTTATCAAAAGATATTTTCACTTAAGAAATAAATCTAAAAAAAGGAAACTTTTCGTTTACTCATAACTTATTTCAAACCTTTTTCACAGCAGGGAAAAAATTCACATTTTATTTTATAAAACATAAACATATGAAAAATACCTTGGATTATATTTAGCTTACCTTGTGTTAAAATTAATCCTATTGAGAGCGCCAATGCTCCGTGATGATGCGTCTGTGAATAGCTTTGAATGCAGCAGCATTACGCGGCATATTAAATATAATCGAAGGAACATAGGTAATGATAAAGCTACGTCATATGGCACCATTTCGGTGCCAATTGTTTTATTCTTATTGGCCAATTTCGTCGTCCACTGGAAATAGTATTCGCCAGGAATTGGATGTATAGCGCATATAAAAAGTTCTAACCCTATTTGACTAATTCGTTGCCATGTCATTGCGATCCTCCAATCGTCAGCGCAGTTATCTATCATGAATAACTGCAGATTTTCGATTTCGATTGGGATTTTGTTTCAGATTATAATCGCATATAGCATATATAGTTCGTTCGAGTTGTGCCAAAAACGAAAAAAAATAGAAACGAGAAGGGAAGAAAAAAAAGGAGAACAAGTATATAATTTATTAATTATAATTGGAGATTTATTGATTGGGTTTTGGTTTTTTTTTTTGCGACTAAACAAAAATGAATTACACTCAAATATACGAGCATGAATTATTTGACAAGTACAACGTCAATGGGGTGTTCGTTTAGGTGTGTATTTGTGGGTGTTTTACAGTATATATGTGTGTGTGTGCCTAAGTTTGTATATGTGTGTGTTAATGGCTTTTGTTTTAGTGGTGGAAGCAATTCCCGAGTCAAGTTCAAGTATCAAATAAGCTATGGAATCTCCTCTGAAATTCATTTCGTGTCTTATGTTTTATTTCTCTTTGTTTATATCTTGGTATAGGTATAGGTAAAGGTATAGGTATAGGTATAGGTTTAGGTATAGGTATTGGTATAGATGTAGGTTTAGGTATAGGTATCGGTGTGTATGTGTGTGTTTCGTGCGTGTATATGTGCTTGGGTGCATATGTGAGTGCAAGTACTTACTAGAAAGCAGCGTGCGTGTTCTCGTGTAATTAGCACATTTCACTCGATTTCGTTCTTGTTTTCTTGGTTACTGTTTTTACCTTTATCCTTTTTCTTAACTTTCTCGTTAAAAAGAGAAATCAAATCAATTTCTCAAAAGTTCAAAATCACCCCACATTCGATTAAATAGGTGGGGTGGGGGGGTGGTATATAATCGGAAGTCTTCCAAAAACCCTAAACTGCATTATATACTCTGAAATTTTCAGTGCATTTAAGCCATGTTTTTAAACGAACATCTATCGATATCACAACATCTATGCAGAGTAGAAATGCTGAAATATCGAAAATATCTTTTTTTGTATATCGAATTTATCGATATCATCGATAGATTTCGATATTTCCGCATTTTAAAATACAAAAGGCTATGCGCACAACAAGCTAAATGATGTGCATTTGGCCGTTTATTATTTTTAATAGTTTTTTTTGGGGGGGAGGGCGGTTGGAAGAGGCATAGGCATGGTCTGCTGATTTGTGTGTCTTTCGTTTTCGATTGCATATGAGCCATTCGCAAGTTAAGCCGACTGATTAATTGATTATCGATTTACGACAAGGTCTACTAGTTTCAAGGTTACTCCTATCTCACATTCACAAAGTCCTGTGTTCTTCTGTTCTTCTTTTTATTTTTTTTTTTTAATATTTTGGCTTAGCCAAACGTTTTTTTGCCTCTAATTTTTGGTGATGGATGGATTTGATGTTTTGATAGTACATATATATCGATTAATATACATATTCAGTATCGACTTAGCAATGGGAATGCTCATATGTATGCGGGTATGCTTGTATGTTGTATGTAGTGCTCATGTACATCTATGTTTTTATGTATGCAAGCCGATTGGAAAACGTTTTCAAAAATGATTTCGAGTTAACTAATCTAAGCTATTGAAATTGCTAGTTGAATATCTTTTTAAATGACAAAAGCAAAGGTGTTTTACGATTTTTTTTACAGATTTTTATATTTGTTCCAAGACCAAAGAAAAACCATTCTCAAAGAAGTAATTTTAAAGTCTATTTAAAAAAAGAAGTTAGGAGTTCTTTCTTCAAGATTTGTTTAATTTAAAAGCCATATTAAGGTTGTAAATATCAAAGGCTTACAATGTGAAAAAAACATTTTCAAATATTTTTAAGATCACCAATTTCTGGAATTTTTTATTTTCTTGTAGTTATATTTAAGATATCTCCAGAAACTTGCTACCTGCTAGAGCACAAAGAACTTTAATTTCATTCTCTTTTCAACTACAACCTAAACTCAAAACATTTCCCCAATCGATTCGCACATGGCCAGTGTTTACTGTATACTGTACTGCAAGACAGGGTGAAAGATTGCGGTTGGGTGGTTTTTTTGGGGTGGTTTCTGAGTGCAAAGCTAAGCCACAATTTTTCGCTATATATTATATGTAACAGTCAAGCGGTTGCCTTTGATCTTGGATGGCGTGTGACAGTATTGGTTTTTGTATCTGTAACTGCAGTCTATTGGGTTTAAGTTTATAGTTTCCATTACGAAAAAAAAAAAACAAAAAAAAAAAAAGAGGAGGGTTTTATATATATATACATTAGTTACGATATAGGTACAGACGCGGGTTCAACTAAACATCGACTTGAAGTTTGCTTGATTGCTGCTTTTTTGGCTTCAATATGCATTGTTTTTGGGTATATATATAGTAGATATATATATATATATATACCCAATTCTAAGTACGATCTATGGTTTATCTACTCTAGGCATGTTTTGTTGGTTTGGTTTTTTTTTGGTTTCTGTTTTTAATTTTTTTTTTTTTTTTGGGTTTTTGATTTGAGTTGGTTTTTGGTATTGGTATTGGTTGCTTCCGTATATGGTACATAACACTATGCATGTTTTTTTTTTTTTTTTTTGGTTTTTGATTTGGATTTACTCACAAATATTGAAGTATGTATGGTAGATATTATAATAAGTATTACTTACTGAATTCTGCAAAGCATAATGGAAGGTAATTACATATTAAAAATTTTACTCTTAAACATCAACATTAATTTGGGGGGGAATAAACATTTAGTCGGAGTTATTATAATTATTATTATTATTATAATAGAGAGAGAGAGAGAGAACAAATTGTATGAAGAGATAACGAATTATGGGGGGAGTTTTTTGTTGTATATATATATATATCTATATATATATATATAGAAAGTATATATCAGCTGACTGACTGGGTTGATTGATTGACTGGTTTTGATTGATTTTGATTGACTGATCAATGACCTGGCTTGATTGAATCATGGGCATGTAAATGGTTTGAATGCAGTGGCGGCGGGGTGGGGGGGTTGTTTTTAAGGGTTTATATATTTCGATTTTGCTATAACGAGGCTGATTTACTATTGACTATCGATAGCCATATCGATAATATTATCGATATGTTGATTACATCAATTACCAATCCAAATTCGATCACTGAACACAGGACTTTGTCCCTACAAAAAGCATCAATTCTTTATTTTATTTTTGATTTCCCGATGAAGCTAACGAAAGTTCACCGGTTTTCGAGTATATCTTCCACTTCTCTTCGGTCTTATTTCGAGTATGTTGCTAATAGATAATATTGTTATTGTATATAAATTATGTTTTTGTTCATGTTTAAAGATAGATTCGTTTAGAATTACAAACTAGGCAAAATAGATGCTGCTCCCATGCTCTCTACATTTACTTTTCTAAGTTCCAAACGCAAACGATCCCTCAAACGAAATGAAGTTTTAACAACAAATCGTTTGAGGGGTTTTTTCTAGTAATATATATATATATGTATAAGATATATAGGTTAATATTTAACTCATGCCAACGATAATTTGTAATACATGTCTTAACTAAATTTATTGGTTTTTTTTTTTTTTTTTTTTTTTTGTGGTTTGCTTTTATTGTAAGGTAAACGAAACGAGAAAAGTAAGACGAAACCAATAAGTTGAAGAAGAAGAAGTAGAAGTGGAAATTGTATAGATTATATATTATATATGATATATTATATATATATATAATATATATATGAATCATATATATATATCAAAATGTTGAGCAAATTAAACAAATTATAGTGCTGTACATGCAACTGGTATTTGAAGCGCATATTGGAGGTAAACGAGTACGAAAACGATTTTGATTTTGATTTTGATTTTGATTTTGATATGGAATGGTTATATAAAAAATTGTCAATAAGTTTCCGGTCTATAAAATGTTAAGAGGATCTGCATTGAATGGATCTGCGTAATGAAACGAAATCAAATGAAAATGCTTAAAATCAACAGGGCTGATAAATAATTATCGATAACGAAAACTTCACCACATCTTATCGATTAACAAGAGTTCAAAGTTTAACAAAATTTTAATTCAAATTTAAAGATTTGTCAAAAATTGTTTGCTTTCTTTTTTGAAAATCAACAATAGGTTAGCTTAATTTTGAATTTTAAAAAACATTTTTAAAAGCGAGAACTTGGAATTGAAAAACAACTGTGGTGAATTCGGTGAGTGTGGTTAACGTGGCTTTGGTGAATGAAAAATGGTTAGCTTTATGTACAGTGTTTTCAGCTTTCATAACTTTTATTTTTTTTTATTTTTTTGGTTTTCGATTCTTTCTGAGTTGGAATATGAAGCTCTCTTTTTTTTTCCTTGATTTGTTTCGGGGCGGGGGGGTCTAGATGAAAGATGTCCAGAGAAATGGCGTAAATGAAATGACGAGTTAAGAAACGGGAAAACTTTTGGGGTGGTGAAATGAAGGAATGAGTAACGGAACCGGAACCGGTATCAGGTTGTCACTTTCTCGCCACAGTCACACCACTACTCTACCACTTTCTCACAGCTCACATGCACTCTTTATCGTTTCTTTCATACTCTTGCTCACTCTCCCAATATATGCGTCGAGCGAACACATTGAAAGTAAAAAAGAAAAAGAAAAACAAACAAAATACAACAAAACAAAAAACAATGGGAAAGTAAATCAAAATCATAACCGGATACAAGAAAACGTTTTTCAAACAGCAAACAAACAAACAAACTAACTAACTAACAAACATACAAACAAACCGAGATGGCGATGATGACAGGTGGGTTAAGGAATTCAACACGGGGGGTTGTTTAGCATGACCATAAGGGGGTTTTTCTTTCTTTAGTAGTGGGATATATCTGGGGGGGGGGAGGAGGGGTTCTATCGGTATTATGGTGACAGTGAGCGAGAGTGACGACGGCAACGTTAAACAGTTAACGATGACGACCATCAGCAAGAACATCAATAACATCTGGAAGAGAAGAATACAATTTGCACTCACTCTCACCTGCACTTCCAAAGCATGGTAAGCTACTATAAGTCCTAAAAGAATCACAGTCGAAACAGATATTAAGGTTTTTAACGCTGTCGAGTAGAACGATGCCTGAAAAGGGGGAACAAATTTGGATAAAGATTAGTTTTAGTTGCTATAAAGACTTTAATAACTTAAGATGCGATATAGTTTTAAAGGCTTTACTTTAAAATTTTATATATTTAGAAAGTTTTTCTCTAAAATTGTGATTTTTTGGGATGAAAATCCAAATTGCTAGATCTGACAGAAAATTAAATCTTTTTTATTGGTTTTATGCCTATTACTTGGCCAAAACAAGACGCACAGCCAAAAGAACGAATGTTTTGTGTTGCTAATGACCAATACTAACTACCCCTATCACTCGATTTTCGATTTTGGGAAAATAAATTTTTGCCCAAATTTCGCATTTTTGATAAGGGGTACCATCATCAAAATTTTCAAAAATGGCCCAAAAATTAAGTTTCCCAGATTTGAATGCAAACCAACTGGGAATCATAGAAATCAAGTTACGAGCCCTTCGAGGTATTACATTCCTCATTTGGACCGTTTTTGGCTGTGCTATGCCAAGATTTTTTGTGCCCAAAATCACGAATACGTCGTTTGACAGCAGAAAGCCCGGGATTGCTGCAGTTTCTTAGCTCCAACTTTGTCAAAACAAGTCGCATAGCTAAAACAATGACTGTTTTATGCAGCTAACTACCGAAACTTAACACCCCTATACTTACTTTTTGTGTTATTGTTCTGATTTTTTGATGCGAGCTCTCTTTTAAGGGCTAAAAAATCAGGAAACTGATTTTTAACAGAAATTTGCAACATTATTTTCGGTTTTTTAGCTCTAACTCGGTCAAAACAAGACGCACAGCCAAAAGAACGACTGTTTTGTGCTGCTAACGACGAAAACAAACTTTCCTCATCATTCGTTTGATGATTTAGGGAGTTTTAATTTTTCGCTATTTTTTGATTTTTTGCAAGGGGTAACTTCAATAAAATTTGCGAAAAATTGAAAATTTTTTACTTTTCAAACGGTGAATGCAGTTTTGTTGGAAATCAAATTACGAGCTTAGCGGGGTATAAAAATCCATATTTGGATCATTATTGGCTTAATTATTGCAAAACTACTAATATTTTGGATCGCAAAAACCGAACTTCGAGCCAGGACAAAAAATTGCAATATTTCCAAAAGTTTCCTAGTTCTTACTTTGTAAAAACAAGTTAAAATATAAAAAAAAAAAATGACTACTAAAAATAAAAGTAAACTTACCTTTGTGTAGACACCGGCACTGCTCAGCTCGTTTTCGATTACCATCACGATGATCCCGAACATGCCCATGACGAGGGCGTAATCGCTGATCCGCTTGCGCTTCTCGAAGAGGGCTTTCCTCTTTCCCAGGCGATAGCCCACATTGGGTTTGTGTTTGGCCGAGTTAGTTGATGGCTTCCTGGACGTATTGCCGCCAGTAAGAGCACGTTCTTCCATATACCTGTATGGGTTTATTCAAATTCAATTTGGGATGACTGAATAGTCCACAACAGAGCCCACACTCACTACCACTCATCACTCCCCCCCTCCCCCACGCAGCACCATTTCTCCATTTAGTTTAGTTTTGTGCTATACATTTATTCTCACTACCAATAAATCGATTGTTAGCTACTTTAATTAAGGGATGTGCTAAGAATGTAATTATAGTATCAACCAATTCCTAGTCCACGTGTCTGGCTATTCGTGTTATAAGATAGATTATTCTATATATTTTTGTCTGACCTATCTTTAGTTTGTTCTAGTTAATTAATCGATTGTTTCTTCGACTTAAATAAATAACCATTTGATTCGTGTCTTTGTTTGTTTTCATCTCATATTAATTAGCTTATTAAATCTACGCTTGATTTGTTTTTGATCTCAATGGCTTTATATCCTTTTGATTCGCTGACCTTTCATTTACATTTTTTTTTTATTTCAAACGATTAAGCCTTTCATTAATTTGCGGTAAGAATAGCTAACTACATTGTCGAGTTAAGCCCTTATTATTCCCTGCCATGAATGGGATTCAAATCTAAAGCTACTCGTGATGTGGCTATTTATTTATGGTCTACAAATGAGCAAAACTAATGGGCTTATAGATATGGATGGCACTTTACATAATATCTTAACAAAAGGTTATGTTGTTTGCAAGCTGATAAGTTTATAGAGAGAGCTGGTAATATAATTTAGATGAGGCAGGACAGTAACTAACCTAGTCTAGAAACAATGATAAATATGATATGCCCAAAGCTGAAATCAGAGAATTTCTGCCAATTTTCTGATACATTCGCCTGATTGTTATATAATTTATTGTTCTTACTTAACTCAAATACCTCCTAATTGTATATACAAACATAACAAAGGTGAGACTAACTCTGAACTCCTGATCCATTATCCTAGCAATTTTCACAGGTTTTCACATACCGCCCCCATGAGTGCTTTTTTCCACAGATCGCTGACTAATGCCTAAGTGTGCTGGGCTGTCGAGATTTTTCCTTTGCATTTGTAGGTAGGTGAAGATGGTTTTACCCTAGGGGTTAAGTCAACCCAACTCAACGGAACTCAACTCAAGCGAATCCAACTCTCAGCTATGCTCAAATCTAGTCGACACCTTAATAAATCTTGTAGCCTGAATGACAGATTTGTGTGTTTTCGCTTTGCTTCGGCTTTCCTAAATGTGTCATATCAATTTGTATCTTATAGATACAGAGACACCGACGACGACGACGACGATGGGACAAGAACAAAAAATGGTAGAAGCCCTCCCTCCTCCCCCTCCATCTCTTTGGATGAGCCAAAGATGGCCAATAAAAATTTTGCTGACAAATGAAAACATACACAGACAGACAGACACACACACACACAGCTGGCTGTCCTCGTTTTCTATGCCCATATAGTCATACACACAGTCACAATCGTAGTCATAGTCATAGCCCATAGTCATAGCTATTGCCATACCCATAGCCCATATATATATCCAAGCCCCCTGCCTTCTCTATAAACTGCTGAACTGTGCCAAATTGCCAACGTGATTGCAGGAAAATATCTTGCCATCGACGACATTCATAGAGATTTATGTGGAGTGAACGAAGAGTGAACCTTAGGACCAGACCAGCGAATCCCCACTATCCTATCCTAGTAACCATTCGTGAGCGGAATTCATTTTACAGCCAGTGCCAAATTGAATCGCGCTGTGGCTCTCAAGCGCTCCCCAATGAATATTACCCCGGACATTTGGCCCATTTCAATTTTCAGACCTAGCGAAATCATCGTTCCCGGGGTCACTTGTCCTGACATTGACAGCTAATTACTGTCCCCGGGCCATCAAACCATCCATTCGATTCCATCCATCAGTCAATGATTTGCCCACAGTTACGGTTTATCGTTTCCCATTTTCGATTCCCTCAATTCCAATTCCTCAATGTCAGCACACTGCACCTTCTTAAAGTTCATACACTGAGGGAAAATAGTTGTTATTTATGTTTTCTATGACTTATGTAAGTGAGTATTTAACTTTACCTCAACTCTATCCTAACTTCTTTTAATTCATTTTGATTTAAAGATTTAAAAATGATTTTCTTTTCTTTATTTTCTAGAATTCCAACTGCACTCTTTTTTAATAAGAATCTTTAGTCTAACGAATCTGTTTTAGCATCCCAATTTAATAGCCTTTAAACTTTAGATACCAACCCAATCCTCATGAACTTTATGATTATTTTACATCGATTTTTTTGGTCTAGGTGTGGGAAGAACAAGAAATCTGTTTATCTAAAGGACTCTAGATGTAGGAGTTTGTTTATCAACTGGGCGGACGGCGGGGGGGGTGTTGAGTATGTTAAATGGCCAATGAATGGACGCTGCTGTACTGGATATATATACATACTCTACTGGCGGATCGGGCTATACATACATTTCATACCTAGGGTAGTCTGAGTGGATACCCACTAGTGCCTCGGCCGCTTCTTCGTTGCATCCAGATGAGATCTGTTCCCGGTTCGCAATGGAAGGTGTTTTCATCGAGCCAGGAATTGAGAGTGTCGACGCCGGTTTGCGGAGCTAGAATTTATTATTTTTTTTTAAATTAATTTTTTACAAATAATTATTAAAACATTATAACTTTACTAAATAGTTAAAATAGTGTAGGTGCTTAGGCAACTAGCATTGGGTGAAAATCTATGTAAATAAATGAAAATTCTTACCATACTTTACCATCAACTTAAACTTAGTTTAGTACTTTGAGTAGTCTTCTTATGATACAAGCTTTATGGCAACTTTTATTTTAAATTTAATTTGTTTTATAAATAAAAATAAGTTGGCCTTAAAAAGCTGGAATAACTCTGCCACTTCTTTATGGTTTTCTCTCTAAAAAAACACACTCCCCCCTAGTTTTCTTTATGGTTTTCATTTAGAAAAACCCTCCGTTATCTCCCCATTTGGAATAACAAATTTCACTTATGAATATCTCCAATTTCAGTTCCCTTTATAACCCACCAGCCAGAGAAAGCCGTCGTCCTGGCAAACTGTTCTTTATCCTCTCGGAATGACGACATCATCACATGCCACATCCCTATCTCCTACCATCTAGTTACCATCTTGATCCTTGATTCGGTGTAAATCCAATTATTTTCGTCTAACCAAAAATAGACGAAAAAAAAACAAGAACTTTCGTAGAAATGAAAACCGGAATTTGAAAGGGTGGGCGGGAAATAAAAAGAAAATCCACTTTGCTCCTATCTTTATCTGGCTAAAAGATAGAGTTTTGCGTGAAAAACAAAAATCCAAGGAGCTCCTCTTCATGTTTCCTCTTAAATACATACATATGTAAGGATATATATATCCCTCTAATGGTCGAGAAAAGTGAAAAGGAAAAAGTGTACAAGCGTGTGTGTATAATTTGGTCTTCATATTTAAATGAAAACTAAAAGATAAGTAATCTGCTTTCCTACTTGTCCTCCAATATGGGTGCGGTTTTGCATAAGCAGTGCGGGCGTAAAAGAGACATATATATATTAAGACAGAGATGGACAGAAAGAGGGAGAGAAAGAGCCAGAAAGTAGAAAGAAAGTAGTAAAAGTCGTAAACTAGACACACACACACACACACCCGCAAAAAGAGAGAGGGACCACCCATAGGACTGCCTAAAATTCAGCTTGGAAATAAAATTCCTTCCTCTAGCTTCTCTTTATTTCCATTTTTTTTTTCTGCTTGAATTTAAGCTTCCACCGACTTTCTACTGCTCACTCAGTTGCTAAATCCAAATATTTGTTTATAAAGAACAGCTCTGTACCGCCTTCTCCCCCCACTTTGCCCTGCTTGAAAAGGCACCTACTCTCTGGGAAAAAAAAAGAGACTACGTGACTGGGCGACAAGGCTCGAGCTTAACTTGTACTTCACTTACGGGATCTTGGGTGGAATGGAACATGGAAGGAGGTTACGCGCGGGGTCCACGAAAGGCAAGCAAGCAGAGTGCTAAGTACATAGCATCATTTTTAATTTCACTCCATCTGCAAATGTTTCAATTTTCACTTGGAATTGAACTTGCAAACCTCTGTCCTCTTAATTAATATTATTCGAAATATTTTTACAAAATTTTCTTAGAAATAAAAAAAAAATGTTTGAAATCTTTCTTTTTCTTCTTGTATTGACTTTCTCCCACTAGACAACACACACACACACGCATTTTGGCTATTTTGCAAGTGCAGAGTGCTGTCGCTTTGAATGGGTAAAGCCATAATCAGTTTTTGGCTTTCGCAGTTTGTCAGTTGCTCGGTGAAAGCCAGCCACTCCCCTGTAATGAAAGCTGCCAGCCAGCTTTCTCTCTATCTCCCTCTCTCTCTGTGTGTGTGTGTCTGTCTTTGTATCTAAGTATGTGTTTGTTTGCCCCCAACCTGCAAGTATTTGTGTGTGTGTGTGTGCAAGTGTGTGTGTGAATTGGTTTATGCTAAGTAGATTTGCTTGAATGTGGCTCCCGCTCCTCGTGCAGTTGTGTTACTTGTGTCACTGTTTAAGCCAGCTGAAAGGAGATGAGCCAAAGTTGTCCGACTTGACTGGGATTTCCTGAGTTCTGGTCTACACCGAAATACCATATACTGGGGGGGCGATCATGTGGATAATTTGACAGATTCATGGGCGTGGCTGGGCTGGTCTGCCCTTTGACCCCGGCTGGCTGTGTTATCATAATTGAGTGAAACGACAAAATCTGAAGTGCAAATGCCAGAACGTATGTTTTCATATGATTAAGTGTCAATCATAGGGTACGAGAGATGTACAAATAGAGAGATTCGATTGAAAGTGATAGAAATTGCTAAGATATTTGGGTTTCCCATGGGTTTTACTTGTCATTTTTTAAGGTTTTCTTAGAAGATTTAAGAATCAAAGAAATTAAACCAAAAATGTAGCATACCTTTTCGGGCAGTAGTAAAAATTACTTAAGTTACGACACCAAAAATATAGCATACTTTTTTGGGCAGTATTAAAAATCACTTAAAAATATAGCATACTTTTTTGGGCAGGAGTAAAATTTTTCAACAAAACTAGATTACTTAAAAGCCGTCGTCACAATCCAAATCCTCTAAAATGTAAACCAAAACTGAGAACACTTCAAATTTCTTAAACCTCTTCAAGGACATTTTCCCCAATTCATGGCAGTAAACACGACTCAAAAAACACGATTCCCAGCCCGGCCTTTGTAATCAGCATTTAGCCGACATTCCCAACCAAAATCAGGGAAAGACAAATGGAGAACTTTGAGAAAGAACAAGGAGAGAGCGAGGACCGAACAGAAGGGGGAAATGGAGACACTGAGTATCCGAATGTCGTTGCCACAATTGTTTGTTATCGTTTGTTTGTTGCGTGTTTGCCCAGACCAGCCGTCCCACCCAATGCTACACACATTTTTGGCACCCATTCGGCCTGCCCCTTACCTCGTCTCCCCAAAAAAAAAAAAAAAAAAAAAAAAAAAAACCAGACGCACACACGCACAATTTCGGGGCACACGCAACGAGGGGGGTGGCAGCAGCGGAAGGACGTGTTTTTTTTTTTTCTGTGAGAGGGGAGGGACACACACGAGACCAACGTCAACATCAACATCAACGCCTACTTGTCAGCAAAAGGGTGTGGATTTTGTGGGGTTGGCCGAGGTCCTGCGAGGTCCTGCTTTTCCCCCCCCCAAAACACACATACATACATATGCAAAGAGAGAAAAAAGGAAAAATCTATTTTTCGGCAGATGCGTGAGCTTGCCATGTGCTCATGAAAGCACCAACGAACAAAAACAACAAAAATTTATACATATATAAAAACAAAACAAATTGCGCATATTCTAGGACATCTAATGTCAATGATGTTAATTGGATTTCTTAATTAAGTTGAAAATCGTAACGGAAAGCGGAAAACCCCAAAGAAAAAAAAATACTAAAATACAAAAAAAAAATGTAACAAGGAAGAGGAGAACTCAGCGGCAGATTAAATAAATGCCTCGAAGGAAGTCATTTAAGTAGAAAATGTTGCACGTTTGGTAGAGAGCGAGAAAATAAGCTTTTCATTAAACGTAAAACGCGCTTTTTGTCAAGTGAAAGGAAAAGCTAATGAAAAATTTTTAAAAATACAAAAGAAAGAAAGAAAAAAAATAGCTAAGAACTTCAATTTACATGGAATTTAAAATGGGGGAATGTTTATGAATAGGAAAACTTATTGGAACAAAAATGTTGTTGGCATTTCCACAAATGCCGATAAACCAATATATTATTTGGCCAGGCCCCCCCCCCTCCTCACCACTTGTGAAATTCAATTAAATATGTGGAAAATGTTTGGGGGGGGAAAATTCATGTGTTTGCTTAAATCAAAAATAATCAAATTTAAAAATCCATAAAATCATATAATGTGGCCGCCACTAAATAAAATTAGCCAAGGGGCCCAATCAATATGGGGTGGTCAAAATGCAATTTAAATTTGATTTTTATTTGTCATTTTGAGAACTGCATAAATTATTTAACTAGTTTATTTTGGTATTTTAATATATATATAATATAAAAGGAAAAGAAGGAAATTGATTGTGGAAATAAGATTTCCTTTTATTTACAATTTTAATTTGAAACCAACTTCAGACTTTTATATTCCTGTTAAATTGACATTCAACTTCTTCCTTCTAAACTAACTTTACCAAAACAGTAGAAGAATTAACGGGTTGAAAAGTTTATAGGGAAAAGTGCCATTTTCTTGGGTAATTTTCCGTCTTTTGCAGCAAACTTTTGTTTTTCAAAGTACTTGGTTAAGTAATTTCGATTTTGGGGGTGACACACAAACCCCATTTTGTACCCTCACGACCTCCCCTACCCCCTGAATTTTATCTGTCTCCCCTTGAATTTTATTTTAGGGTTTTTAGTGTTGTTTTTGTTTTTGTTTTTTTTGTGGCCGATCACGCACACACAATGAGAGAGACGTTGTTGTTGTTGGGCAGCACATTGGCATTTAGTCGATGCCACGCCCCGAAATTATTTCTCACCTGCGTTCTCACCTCTAACCAAATTAACATACTCATTGCCGACACACAGTTTATGAGCTTTGCATGGACACGCATACTTTGCCAGCTAAACAGGGCTAACACACACACACACATAGGCTAAAGGAAATTGGTGGAAATTATCGAGTTTCCTATACAAAACGCGACCAGCACGCAAAAACCAAGTAAAAGTGTGGCAAAAGGAAACGAAACTAGAAGAGAAAATACAAAACAAGCGACCAAATTGGTAACGACTTGGTTAGAAAATCCTGCCTAAAGAGGTCCTGAAGTTGGAGTTAACGATAGCGATTAGGCCCAGTCTCATAAGCATGTGTGTGTGTGTTTGGGTTTTCCCTTCGTTTTTCGGTTTGCCTTGGTTTCCGTTTCCTCTTTCTAACCTCCCTCCCTCCCCCTTTAACCTCCTGCTCACTCATTGTTGCCTAATAAATTTAGCGTAATTCACATTACATTAAGGTTACGTTTTCTTTTCCTCACCAGGAAATCCATCCCCTACTTCTCACTCCTCACTCCCTATTACCAACCACCGCCAACTGCC